GAGGATTCATGGGCTGGAATACGGGACAAAGAATGTTCTAGAGTTAGCAAAGGAGTCTAAAGAGTAAGTACAGAGGAAATGTGAAGTAGCAGAATTTCCTCAAGACCAGGTGGTCACGGAGAGACAGATAAAGTCACACAACGTTCACGCGAATCGAGGTGCCCTCACTCTGCCCTCGGCTCGCCCTTCCACAGCTGGGCCACTGGACCCCAACCTCCCCTCTGCTCCCCACCACTCTTCCCCTTCAGCCCTCCTGGCCCTGGCTCCCGCGTACCTCCCACACCCAGCACAGACTGTCCTTCTGCCAAGAGAAATCTAATGTCAGCTGTCAGCCGCGCCCCCCCCCTCAGTAAACCGCCACCCCGCCAGACCCTGGGAGAGCAGAGGCCCCAGAGCAGGGCACTGGAGTCAAGAGGGATGATCTACGTTGTGCTCATGACAACACAGAACGCATGACCCCTAGAAGCCCTCCAGAGCAAGAGTTAGGGGGGAAATTCCTATTAGTAGCTTGTATTATTTTTATTTTTAAAAAATATTAACCTACACCACCACCGAAAAGAAGCCATTCCTCTGTCGCAGTGAGCAAAGTGAACTAGGTCGCCTGGCTTGGGCGCTGGCTGTGTCCTCCCCACAGCGGTGCTCACCTGGCTCACCACCTCCTCCCTTTAAAGCTCAGGCTCCTTGTCCTAATACGGGACAGTAAAACCTGCCTTTGGGATGGGCAAGGACAAACTGAACACTCATCGTGTTCAAATGAGTTCGACCCTTCGAGCCCTTAGGGGTGGATGCAAACAAGGCAGAAATAGCCCTGTTCCAGCGGAATTCCTTCAGCTCGAGACTTCCAGCCAGGGAACGGGAGATCCAAGCTTCTAGGACCCAACTCCCACTCCACCCCAAACGATCCCACAGAGAAGCAGTCCGTGTTCTCACTGACCGCCCCCCACGGCCGAGGACCGTGGCCCTCACTGACCATTCCCTGCGCCGCCCCCCTGCCCCCCGGGCCAAGGCCAGCCATACACTTTGCATTCTTTCTCACTTAATCGTCACGACCACCCTGGGTCCTCTGTACCACGGGGTTTGCAGTTGACACAGAGGCCAAGGGCAGCCAGGAGAATCCTTGCGCAGGTGGCTTTAGAGTGGCCCAGGCTCTGGGCTGCGGCTCCAGACACCTCCTGGACCTGCTGGGGTGGCCGCCCGGGTTCCTGCCATCCCTGTGTTCTGACGGCAGATTTAGCTCTGGGATGGGCACGGTGGAGACTGCGGGCCTGGCTAAGCTGGGGGGCTTTGCACCTGTACCCTCCCCTCATTTGGAGATTCCCAGAGAGAAGGCCTTGCCCAGAGGAACAGGTACCCTGTTGCCCGCAGGACCAGGGCATTGGGCCCCTCTCTGGCCTCTGGGGGTGGGACCCAGGGCCTGCATGGTTTTGTGGGCCAGAGACTGCTCTGTGATTCAGACCTGGCCGTGTGACGGAGAGAACGCCTGCCCCTAGTCTGAGTCAAGGCATGTCCCTGAACAAAGGCTGTTCTTTTGTGAGGAGTCCCATGAGCTTCCTAAACTGACGGGGCACAAAGCCAGTCCTTCTACCAATTCCGCAGGGCCCCCGGGCTGCCTCACTTGGCACCCCCATCCTGCAGCACCCTCCCTCTTTCTGACTCACGTGACTAGTCACCAAGCACCTTCAAAGAAACTAAATCTCGTTCTCCTTCGCTGGTTTAAAACCTAGGCCCCTGGGCTCACTCTCCCGCCCTGGCCTCAAAGACCTCCTTCCGAACCCACCGCACAGTGCGTGATCCCTTAAAATGAGAGCCCTGGGCTGCCCCCCTCACCACCCTCCCCAGGCTCCCACACCGCTCGTCTGGTCCCTACACAGGCCACACTCCCAGCCCACCCCTCAGGACCTACGGGGGCCTTAACGCGTGCACAGCTTCCCCGATGCTCTCTTCCTGAGTGTGGGCTGCACTGGGGGGACTTGCTCCCAGTGAAGGGAACGCGGCAGAAACGATGGGGGACATCCGAGGCGGGTCATAAAACACCCTGTCAGGAAGCCTGGGTGGCTCAGTCGGTTAAGCGTCTGCCTTCAACTCAGGTCATGATCTCAGGGTCCTGGGATCGAGCCCCGAATCGGGCTCCCTGCTCGGCAGGGAGTCTGCTTCTCCCTCCGCTCCCCCTGCTTGTGCTCTCTCGCTCGTGTGCTCTCTCTCAAGTAAATAAATAAAATCTTTAAAAAATAAAAAACACCCTGCAGCTTCTGCCCTCCCTTCCCCTCTGATGGCTTGCTCCAGGAGAAACCAGCCACCACAGGGTGAGAACACTCAAGCAGCTTCACGAAGGTCCACATGACAAGCAGCTGCAGTCTCCCGCCCCAGCCAATCTGCAGCTGATTCAGTTCTGGCCGACACTGTGACTGCCGTCCCCTGAGACCCTCAGCCAGAACCACCCACCTGACGCCACATTCCTAGCCCACAGAAACCGTGACATAATAAATATCTAAGTTTCTAAGTTTTGGGGTAACTTGATACACAGTGGTAAGACAATGAATACAGGTCTCTGCACGATGTCTGTAGCGCTAACAAAAGATTCAACTCAAAATTTACTCCACTGTAAAACTGTATTTACAGTCTATGACCAGAAATCCGATGGTGGACGATCCTAGGACCAACAAGCTCAGGGGCTCGGCGACGCCATCAGGCTCTTCATCTTTCTGCTCTGGAGTCTGTGTGTGCAGGCCTTTGTCTTCTGGCTCGCCCCCTGCAGTCACAAGCTGACTCAGCAGTCTCCATTACCACACCTCCACACACCAGCAGCCAAGGCTGGCTGCTGCGAGAGAAGGCGCCATCACGTGCCCTGGGTAGATTGTGGGAGACGCCCCCACAACCCCCCAGAGGACTGTTCCCTGTGTCCTGTTGCCCTGAGCTGGGGCACATGCTCCTCTCTAAAACTTTTTTTTTTTTTTTAAGATTTTATTTATTTATTTGAGACAGAGAGAATGAGAGAGAGAGAGCACATGAGAGGGGGGAGGGTCAGAGGGAGAGGGAGACTCCCCGCCGAGCAGGGAGCCCGATGCGGGACTCGATCCCGGGACTCCAGGATCATGACCCGAGCCCAAGGCAGTCGCTTAACCAACTGAGCCACCCAGGCGCCCCTCCTCTCTAAAACTTCTGACCCTGAGCTAGGGAGAGGTCCAGGCTCCCCAGCTGACTTCAGCTGCACCAACTAAGTCAGGTTCTTGCTGGTGAGGCAGGGACAGCCATGGAACGAGACAGTCTGCCAACCCAGGGCTGCAGCCACGGCCCAGCTGTTGCTGCCTGCCCCTTCACCTGGGGCACCTCCACTCTGCCCTCTCCTACTCTGGGTGATGTCTGGGCAGGACACTAGTTTCTAATCTCTGTGTCCCCATGAGAATGCAGGGTTACTACCCACTGAACAGGAAAGAGATGTAGGGGTTCAGAAGAGAACCCCCAGCCCCAGCTGTGAAGTCAGAGAACATCCCTTGAAAAACAACAGGGAGTCATCCGGGCACAAGTGTGAGCAAAGTCACGGAGCACAAAACCTCCAGAGTAGTGATAACCTGGCGGGCTTGAGGGAAGCAGGCAGGGCTCAGATTCCACAGAACCCGTTAACACCCACAGGCTCGGGAAAGGAAATGGTCAGATGTGTGTTGTACATGTCCGCAGGAAGCTGCCTGCCCTCCAGACTTTGGAAGCCTGGGTGAGTGGCACAGATCCTGGGCTGGCCTCAGTTCTGCTAAGCACCCCAGTGTGCTACCTGGGGAGAAGAGTCCAGCAGCCCAGGCCAGGCAGGAAGCTTGTCACTTACTCCTTCAGGACCCCGACGTGAAGCAGAGCCCAGGCCTTTCCGGATTCCCTTCAGCTACAGGGCAGCCGCCAGCCTCCCAGGGAGTCATCAGCATCTTCCGGGAGAGCTACCACCATAGGAATGCCACGAAGTCTTAGCACCCCAGAGACCGCTGTTGAGATACCTAGTTGTTGTGCCCTAGGCTCCCAAAACAGCCTGGTGGGTGGGGCTCACACAGTGTGACACTCAGAGGGAGGAGCTGCAGCCATCACAGGAAACTGGGGCAGAGGCTCCAGGGCCAGTTCTCTCTCCTGGCAGCAGGGACTTGTCGGATCCATCGCAGGACTTGGATCGGACTACCCTTCCTATCCGGGGGCTGCGTAAAAGCAGCCCGGATCGCAAGATCTGAGTAATCCTAGCAGTGGCGGAGAGCTGCCACGAGAAGGGTTGAGGCCCCTTCTCCTCCCCTGCCCGACCCTCTGTGAAGGCTCCGGTCCCGCTGAAGCAGGCTTCGGGGGGGCAGGCAGACAACAAGCCTCCGTGCTTCCCAGGAACGGGGAAGCACCGGGTCCTGCAGCAAGGGTGAATACTCAGGCAGGTCCCGAAAAGCCTGTCCTCGCCTGCCCGCAGCTATAAGCGCACTTCCAGCAGGTCACTCCCTGTCCAGCCCACCAGGACCACATGCCCGGTCATCTGCCGCAGCCTCCTCCCCTGCCCCGCTAGGGACCAGCGCGTCTGATCCAAAGTGGTCTCGAGACAACGTCCCAGGCGCAGCAGGCCCTCCCCGCGGCCGGGTCCCGCCGGGAGCCCAGCCCTAAGCCACCGCCGCAGCTCGCAGCCGCCGCCGCCGCCGCGCGCCGGGAGGAGAGGCGCATTCTGGGAGGCGGCGCTGCATGCTGGGACCTGTAGTCCGCGGCCCGATCTCGGCCGAGGAGGCCGCTCAGGTCCCTTCAGCCCCAAGAGCCCGCGAGTCCAAGCGGGCCCGACGCCCCGGCCCAAGCTGCACCGGCACGAGGACACGACGCCCGTCGGAGGGCCGGGGGTCAGTCGCGGCGGGTCAGTTCCCCAGACCCCGCCCCGGAAAGAGAAGAGAAGCCGGGGCGACGGCGCCGTCTCGCGAGAGCAGAGCCCGGGAGCCACGCCCCCCGAGGGGGGCGCGGACCGCCGCCGCTCGAGTGCGATTGGGCCGCTGTGTCACGTGGCCCGGCGGTTACCGCGGCGACCGAGCGGGCGCGCGCGGGGCCTGCGGTGGACTCGCCTTCCTTCCGGAGCCGCGCTCGGCGCCGGGCGCGCGGGCCGCCCATGGGAGCCCGGGGCGCCCAGGATGCGGGCGCCGGCCAGGGAGCTCTTCCGGGATGCCGACTTCCCCGCCTCGGACTCCTCGCTGTTCTCCAGCTTCTCCACGCCGCTGGCCCAGTTCCGCGAGGACATCACATGGAGGCGGCCCCAGGTGGGGCTGTGGGCGCGGGTCTCGAACCTCGGGTCGGGCCCCGAACCTCGGGTAGGCGCCCCGCGCGCCGCCTCCGGCGGGGTGCCGCTGCAGCCCTCGGGAGCGGGGGGTCCCTCGGTAGGGAGCCACCGCGGAGCTCCTGGCCCGCGCCCTCGAGAGCTCGGTTCCGAAGGCGGTTCGGGGCAGGGCGAGACGTCCGGTCCAGCAGATGCCAGCCCTGCCCCTCTGCTGCTCCGACGGGCGTCCGTCCGGACTGAGCTGGACTGCGTGGCCCCCCGGCCACAGGCGGTCCTGCTCTGTTCCTTGCGTTTGCCGGCATCGACTATGCTCCTGAGCTCCTGGAAGGGCAAGGCTCTTGGACTCCGCGCGCCTGCGTTTTCACATGTGAACGCTTGAAGGCGGCAGTTTCAAGGGGCGCTCTGGCCTAGTGCGATGTTGGTATCTTTAGAAATGGTTGATCTGCTGAGTAAGACTTCTCAGGAAGGGCCCTCCCCTGCCTGCAAGTGCACGGTCGTAATGGAGACGTCTGCAGGGTCACCAGTCCTCGGAGCACTTGGCTCTGGCCACAGAGGTGCTTGGGCAGCACGGAAAGTGCCAGCTTGGTGTGGAACGAGGCAAGGGCCAAAGCATGAAGTCTTATAGGTCGTGCCAGTGGAATCGGGGTTAAAAATGCATTTTAGGCACAGTGGGAGGCCAGTAGCGGGTTTTAGTAGAGGAGCAATTTGAGTGCGTTTGTGTTTTAAGAAGCTCACTTTTACTGCTGGCAGGGAAGTGGATTAAGGGCAGGAATGCAGTGGTCCTAGAGAAAGGTAAAGGGGGTCAGGGTGGTCTGGCAACCTTTAGGATGGGGCTTTGGAGTGGATGGATTTGAGAATTAATTTGGAGGGGGGTTAATAAGTTTTAGTAACCGATTGGAAGTAGAGGGTGAGGATAAAGCAAGGATCAAACACGACTTCGAGATTTTTAGCCTGAGCACCTGGGTAGATGGTGGTCCTGTTTGATGTGCTGGGGGACAGTGGGAGGTGGGGGACAGCTAGGGATGGAACTCTTGCGTTGCGTTTTGCTCTCACAGGTGTGAGCAGAGCTGTCCACAGGCAGGTGGGCATGAGAGTCAGGTGCTCAGGAAGTTCTGGGCTACAGGACCCAGACATCAGGGAACGGGGACCATGACAGGGCCCAGGGCCCCGAACAGTATCTCAGGAGACAGTGGGTCTGAAGAAGGAGACAAGGCTTGGAATTGAGACTTGAGCGACCCTAACATTTCCCAGTGGGTTCAAGCAGTTCTCTGGCAGGTGGCCTGGAGAAGCAGCAGGTGGCAAGGTGAAAGGACAGCCAGGAACATGTGGAACCATGGGAGCCAAGAGGGGACTGTGGGGGAGTGCAAGGGGACAGCCACTGTTCTGATGTTGCCAAGCGTCAGGGAAGACGAGAACAGAGAGAAGCCCGTTGGATTTGACAACGCAGAGGTGACTGGCTGGGAGGCTAGAGGGGCCTGTGCTGAGTGAGTGGGAGGGAGGAAGTAAGGACGGCAGCATTTTCGAGAAGTCTGTCAGAGAAGGGAATACTCAAGGAGAGATAATGCAGGGGGGACAGTATCTTAGAGAAGATGGGGGTTCTCTCTGCCCCATGCTGGTGGAATTCTCCCTGCAGGGGGGAGGAGGCGGGGGTCATGGGAAGAACCCTGGCTCTAAAGGCAGGAGAGGGGGTCAGGTGGGGGTTGCTTCTGAGGAAGCTTCTGGCAAGGTCATCAGCTCAGAGGGGCATGGGCAAGGGCAGGAGCGTGGAAGTGTTAAGAAGAGAGGGGGAAAGGGGAAGGTATAAAGTAGTCTGGGTTTGGGGAAATTCAGCCGGATTCCAGCAGTATGGAGGATCCGTCTGAGATTTGCTGTTGTGAGCTTAAAGTGAAATCATTTTCTAGGGCAAGTTAGCTGGTTCGAGAAGGGGGGTGGTGAGACTCATCTAGAGTTGGGGTTTTGCCACTTTAGGAAGGTGGACAGAGAGAGACCTAAGCTGGACGGGGTGATCTAAAGCCAGGAGGGACTGACAGATCGGGGCTGTGAGAGGCCAGCTGTTTCCCCTCCCCTCTCAGGCAATGTGGGTGACCAGGAAAGCTCCTCCCCGGTGCCTGTCACCTAGATCCTGTCTTCTTAGTTTTAGAGACTAGGCTTCAGGCATGATGTAACTGGGTGATACTCTTTATTCCAGGAAATCTGTGCCACGCCCCGGCTGTTTGCAGATAACCCACAGGAGGGACAGGTGAAGCAAGGGCTGCTGGGAGACTGCTGGTTCCTGTGTGCCTGCGCCGCCCTGCAAAAGAGCCGGCACCTCCTGGACCAGGTACCATGCGGGGCGGGCAGCTCTTCTGCTGTCTTCCTGTCTGCTGTGCACAGGAAGGAAGCAGGAAGCAGGGCAGCTGAGCCTCCTGCTCTGTGGGCTCTGCTTGGTCACCCGGCACGGCTGGCAGGAAGGGAGAGCTCGGCTCTCAGGCCACAGGGGCTCCGAGGCGTGGGCACTGTGTCCCCCTGTCCCCAGGGCTCCAGCGCGGGGGCTTCCTGCCCTGCTCTGCCCTCCTGAGCCCTGGGTTCTGTGCAGGCAGAGCTGTATGTTTGGGATGCAAAGATGAGCGCACAGCCGCCTAGAGTAGGAAGGGTCGGCGGAGGGGTCCTATGCCCTGGTTTGCAGTAAGTTTCCCTAGCTAGTTGGTTTTTTTTTTTTTAAACAGGTTTTGAATATAAATTGGCAAAGGGTGATTAAAACTGTTTCGGATGCTAGGCAGATAGAACAGGTGTAAAAGGCCTGCTCAGAGTGCTTCTCCAGCATTCACAGCTTTGTTTGGCTCGCTGCTAGATGTCACTGATTAATGCAGCAACAGTGAGAGTGGTGACCTGTTCCGAGCTACTCCCATGTCAGCAGGCCCCGCTAAGCGCACCATAGTTGCTGGCCTTTGTTCTCACAGGCCTTGCTGGCTTTGACCCTCGTTTGCAAACGAGGACGCTAAAACCGTTGTTACCATGTTCGTGGCTAGTAAGTGACAGAATCAGGACCAGACAAGTCTGTGTAGGTGCAAAGCCCACATGTGTCTTATTCTGGGTGAGAACTCCAAAGCCGGCAGTGAATGCATTGGGTCCAGGCGCTGCCGGAGTTCCTGAGGCACCCCACCTACCCCCACAGCTGGGGTCGTCTGCAGCCAGCTCTGTCAAGAATTGCCTGTAAAGTCAACGTTTGTTTTGGATTCGGGTCAAGTGCTTATTTGGGACAGTAGGACATCATGGTTGGCTTTAAGCTTTTGGAGACACTTAGCTCCCTCGGTGTGGTCCTAAAACGTTTTACCAAAAAGTCTGTTAGTTTTCTGTGTGACGACTGGGTTTTGTGCCAACACTGACGTCCGGCTGCGGAGCAGAGTCGGGCCCCTGGCAGGGCAGCAGGGTACCGTGGAGCAGCTCTGGTGACGGCGCGTGGGAAACACCGTGTGGTTTGTCTCTCATGCTCTCCTTTTGCCTTTCCCTGTGCGTGGTAGGTCTTTCCTCCAGGACAGCCGAGTTGGCATGACCACACATACCGCGGCTCCTTCACCTGTCGAGTTTGGCAGTTTGGACGCTGGGTGGAGGTGACCATAGATGACCGTCTGCCTTGTCTTGCAGGGAGACTCTGCTTCTCCCGGTGTCAGAGAGAGGATGTGTTCTGGCTTCCCTTACTGGAGAAGGTCTATGCCAAGTACGCGTGCTGGAGGCTGGAGGGGCTGGGCCGGGGTGGGCTGGGGAGTCACAGCTGCCTGAGGCCGCCCCTGGGGAGCATGTCTCCGCTCTCCTTGGGCTGCAGCACCCTCCTCAGTCCCCGGGACCTGGCAGCCAGGCCTGCGGTGGGACCGAGCTATCCAGAGACAGAACTCAGACGTGGCCTGTGGCGTGCGTCTTCCCCTGGCCCATTCCCTTTCCCCGTCCTTGCTTCAAACTTGGGCCTGAAGGCATCACTCAGCACGGCAAGCCGTGGGAGGGGTGAAGCCACCCAGGTCTCAGTGCCGCTTGAGGCCGTGCCCCTCACCCTGGGTCTGAATGGGAAAACTTTCCTCTTAGAATGCAGCAATGAGCCTGCAGGAAGAGGCCGCACGGATAGGCAGGCCTTTGTACGGAGGGAGTGAGGAGGGCCTGCGGGGATGTCGGCGTGAGCGCCTCCGTCCCGGGGCGAGGGTGGGGTTTGAGCCTGAGAAGTGGAAGAGTGGGTATTCACAGCCTCACGCCCCAAGCCGCCTCACTTTTGTGTCCGCACTGGAGGCCGCAGGGTGTTGCTGGGCTGCTGTGCTTTCCGGCCTTTGAGGGTCAGATGACGTCTGTACTTAGTGAGGACAAGGCAGGAGTAAAGAGAAGCGATTGAAGTGGTGGGTGAGGTGATTTGGGGGTGTTGCAGACGCGGGGATGGAAGAGAGGCAGGGCGCCATGCCCCAGTACCAGAGGCTCACTCCCTGTGGTTGCCCCCCCAGGGTCTATGGGTCCTATGAGCACCTATGGGCAGGGCAGGTGGCGGATGCCCTGGTGGACCTCACCGGGGGCCTGGCAGAAAGGTGGAGCCTGAAGGACTTGGCAGGAACCAGTGGCCAACAGGACAGGCCTGGCGGCTCGGAGCACAGGACTTGCCGACAGCTGCTCAGCCTCAAGGACCGGTGTCTGATAAGCTGCTCGGTGCTCAGCCCCAGAGCAGGTAAGGCGGCAGGCAGACGGCAGCGGGACGGGCCTGCGCCCCCGGGCACCCCCACAGCCCCCACAGCCACACAGGGGCTTGTTCTCGGGGCCCCGTCAGGACTGAGTGGAAAGCAGACGTTTGTCCTTCAAAGCTGGTGTCTGGTGTGTGACCTCCCCTGCCGCCTGTCCTTCTCCAGAGGGAAGGTCCTTCTCCCTGGACTTTCTTCTTCCTTCTCCCTGACTTACGAGTAGGGCGAGGCTGGAGCGTCTGCCAGGGCAGCCGCCGCCCGAACGCTTGAGAACCTGGTGGCGGCGGCATCTCCGGCCTGGCTGGCAGCCTGGCAAAATCAAACTCAGGTTTTCATTTGAGTGAGGTCCGCGCTCGTTAGAGGCAGTTTCTTGAAAGGAAGAGACCCCGCCCACAGAACTATTTTCCGTGGCCCTCGGGGCTGTTCCACAAACAGGCGTGTGTGCCCGCACACGACATTGCGCTCTCAGGCACCGCGCACGCCGCCTTGTCTCATTCCGTCAGTGAAGCCGCCGTGTTTTCTTACGCTTTCCCTGAATGCCGGGCGATTTCGCACATTACAGATGGCATTACTGAGCGTTTTCACGGTTGACAGCGTTCACATTTAGGATGATTTTCATAATGGGGTTTCTGGCCCAAGAACTCGGACACCAAGGTCAGCGGGTGCGTGTGGACAGCGAGCGCTGCCGACGTGGGTGAGGGGAGGTGAGGGAAGCCCGCAGACAGCCGTGCAGACCGTGCGAGACACGGCGCCCGAGCTCTCCCTGAGAGTGGCGCAGGGCTCATCCTTAGCGCTCCGGGCTTCGCGGACACCCCCAGGCGGGGGGGGTGCAGCTGGATCCCACGGAGGTGTCAGCGCAGACGCCCAGAGTGGTGGCTACGACACCATTCTAAATAAAGCTTTTAAAGACGTTGCAGAACTTTCTCCTTCTCTCTGGACCGCCCCCCCTTCCGCAGATGGGGCTCCAGTCACCATCTGGCTCCTCCCTTTCCACATGGTTTGACCCAGGGCTCTGGGGGCTCTGGCAAGTGGGGTTGTTTGCTCTCTGGGGCCTCCAGTCTTCCCCCAGCAGCGTTTGGTCCCACGGCCCCCGGCCATGCGGGCCCCACCCCCACCCCACGGGGCCGGCCTTGCCAGGAGGAGACTGCTCTTCCTGCCCATCCCAGACCCGTCCCAGACCTGCTGCCGACGACGCTTATGGCCGCACGTTTGAGAACCGGCCCAGCACCGGGCGCCCTGCGCTGCCGTATCGGCCAGCCGGCTGTCCTCGCTCGTCCACCCAGGCGGGGACCAAGGCCTCGAGAAGGGAAGGACCTGCCAGGCTCTTGGCAGCGGGGCCACAGTCCACACCCAGGTCCTTTGCCGTGGCTGTGCACTGGTTAAGGCTGCTTCTGAGCTCACTTGTCCACAGTGGTCAGGAAAGGAGCCCCGGTGGCCCGTGGGGATCTGGGTGTTGGTGGCCACAGTCGGGTGGGCTAGAGCATCCCACGGGGAGGGAGACAGACCTGTGCGTCCGCCCAGTTTGGGGACTTCCTGCCCACAACGAAGCTGTTCCTCACCCAGGTGCCAGGGAGCTGGGGGAGTTTCATGCCTTCATTGTGTCCGATCTGCGAGAGCTCCAGGGGCGGGCCGGCCAGAGCATCCTGCTGCTGTGCATTCAGAATCCCTGGGGCCGGCGTTGCTGGCAGGGGCCCTGGAGAGAGGGGTGAGTATGGGCGAGGGCCAGGGCTGTGCCACCGTCAGCGAGGGGAGAGGGCTGGGGCCCCGAGTGGCAGCGGAGAGCCATCACAGCCATGCGTGTGCCCAGGCTAGTTTGTAGCTGGTCAGCGCAGTGCACGGTTGGTCTCCCACAAGGCCCCTTGGCATCTGCTTGTGGTCCCCCGGGTCCGGTGTTTGGCCCAAGACAGCCCCAGGAGGCTGGTTTAGTGCTTGGCGCCGGGACCGAGGCCGCCCTAGGCCCTGGGCTCCTATCTTGAGGGTGCCCACGGAACGGTGGATGCCCAGTCAGGCTGCGGGTGACAGGGACATGTGGGATGCCCGAGTCACAGTGCTCAGCTCAGCTTTAAGGCCTTTACTGACGCCAGGGACCAGGATTGAATGAGGGCCCTGGGTCCACTCCCCTCGGCCGACCGCAGTTGGTCAGCAGATCCGACCCTGGCTCCTGAGTGCAGGAGGCTGGCGGCAGTTCGGTGTGAGGTGATCGGGCACATCCTTCATTGGCCTGCTCACGGGCACAGCCCTGGGCAGACGTGTCCGGAGGCAGGAGCCTCAGGGAAGGAGAGAGGGGATTGCCCCGAGGAAGGGCCGGCAAGAAGCTGGCCGGGCACAGGCCTCCCCAGTCAATGCTGTCAGCTGTGGGGTGAGGGGCTGCCGCTGACGTGAGCTGCCTTCCAGGGGCGAAGGGTGGAGCCGGGTGGACCCAGCCGATGAGTCTGAGTTGCTGTCCCAGCTGCAGGAAGGAGAGTTCTGGGTGGAGGAGGAGGAGTTCCTCCAGGAGTTTGACGAGGTCACCGTTGGCTTCCCGATCACGGAGGCCGGCCACCTGCAGAGCCTCTACTCAGGTAAGGGGGAGGCCTGCACCTGAGGGGAGGCTGCCATCACCTGGGGTAGGCCCTTGGGGGGCGACAACCCACTCGGCTCTGCCCTCTGAGGTCAGGGCTGAGCGGCCACCGCATCCCCCTAGGGGCTCCTGGGCATGACCCTCGCCCCAGGCCCTCTTCTACTTCTGTGTGCGGAGAGATGGCTTCATCCCCTGCCGTCCCAGGCGGCCTCAGGTGGCGGGAGACCATGGGGCCCCCTCCTGTAGGGTGCTGTAGCCGGTGGGGGTGAGAGTGGCGGGGCAGCCCGCGTGGGAGCCCTTTCCTGAAGCTGCTGTTGCTGGCTCTCCCCTAGGAAAGGCGCTGTGCCACACTCAGGAGCTGCCTGGGGCCTGGGTCAAGGGGCAGTCGGCAGGAGGCTGTCGGAACAACAGCGGCTTTCCCAGCAACCCCAAGTTCTGGCTGCGGGTCTCAGAACCGAGCGAGGTGTTTGCCGCTGTCCTGCAGAGACCCAGGGTGTGCGCCGCAGGCCGGGCAGGCCGGGCTCGGGCTTCGGTGGGGGACGGACCTGCCACGAGGAGCCCGGCCAGCTTCCTGGGTGAGGACTACCAGGCCGTGGGTCTGCATATCTGGAAGGTAACTCTGCCCTGGGCCCAGCTCCCTGCTCAGGGTCTGGGGTTGCTGGGACACGAGCGACTGCCGGGAGCCTCTCCGACCTCATCCTCTGGGGTCGCACGCCCGCTGGAGCTCCCACAGCCCCAGCTCCGCCCGGCCGGCGTCGTCGGTCAAAGGGAGATGAAGCAAAAGCAGCCCTTGGCCGACTGGCAGGAGGGAGGGGGGCATGGCCCTGTCTAGACCGGTCTGCTCTCCCCGAGAGCAGGAGGACTTGGACCCTGGGGTCGAGTGAGAGCCCTGGGTTGGGGGCACTTTGAGCCGGGCCCCGCCGTGCTGGGGAGGGACCCACAGGTCTGTTGCTATCTTTCGTTAAGTCGTTTGAGAGGTCCTTCTGCTGGGCGAAGGCGGTGGGGCCGGTCTCCGGACGGTGGCACAAAGTCCTCCTCTGTGCAGGTGGAGAAGCGGCGGGTCAGCCTGCCCAGGGTCCTGTCCACGCCCCCCGTGGCCGGCACCGTGTGCCATGCCTACGACCGGGAGGTCCACCTCCGCTGCGAACTCACGCCAGGCTACTACCTGGCCGTGCCCAGCACCTTCCTGAAGGACGTGCCGGGGCAGTTTCTGCTGCGGGTCTTCTCTAGCGGGAGAGTCTCCCTCAGGTGAGAGGGGCAAGGAGGGACTCTAGGCTGTTCTCCCCCGAGGGCCCGGCTGAGGAAAGGGGAGCGCGGCCCCGGGCAGCGTCCTACAGGTTTGCGTGTATCCGCGGCCCATGGCGCAGGCCCGCAGCGTGCTACCAGCCGCCCTCCTGTGTGTCTTTCCCGGGCAGTGCCATCAAGCCGGCGGCCGGGAGCCCTGCCCCTGGGGAGGCCCTGCCCGCGGGCGAGTGGGAGACCGTGCAGCTGCGGGGCTCCTGGAGAACTGGCCAGACAGCAGGGGGCAGCAGGAACTTTGCCTCCTACCCGAGCAACCCCTGCTTCCCCCTGTCGGTCCCTGAGGGCCCAGGCCCCCGCTGTGTCCGTGTCACCCTGCGTCAACACTGCCAGGACACCCAGTGCCACCCCATCGGCTTCCACGTCTTCCAGGCAAGTTCCTCCTGCGCTGGGGGGTCCGGGGGGAGGTCCTCAGAGACTCTGTGTCCCCACCGGTGGCCGGGCGTGACCGAGGCCTGGACTCGGTCATGTGGGCACAGTCGGCTGGCCGGTCCCATGCAAGGTCCATGTCTCGGTTTCCTGAAGTCTGTAATTCACTGGGGTCCTGGGTCAGCTCACACGGCCTCTTGGCCACTCCCCCAGCTCGGGACGACGGTGTCATGAGGTCAGTTCTGCTCCCCAGAACTGTGCCTCCCGCCCAGGAGACCCAATGGCGTGCCCCGCCCTTCCCCGTGCCCCACACCCCCTGGGGCCCCTCCTCTGGAGAGCGGGCGTACCCTGGGGGCCAGGAGGAGGCCCTGGCCCAGGCTCGCTGGGCAGAGCGGGAAAGGGAGGGAGGGAACCACACAAGACAGTGTGGGGCCCTGGTGGGCAGATGCCACTGAATGCTCAGATGGTTCTCGGACCAGAAAGCTGTCCTGGGTGGAGAGGAGCGGGTCCTGAGGCCCAAGTGGGGCCTGTACGTCATAAACACCACCCCGAACCTCCTTCCTCCACCTCAGCCGCTCTCGTGTCGTGCTGCAGGTGGGACACCTTAGCAGACCTGTGGTTGAGGGAAGGGGGACAGGCACAGTGCCAGAAGTCAGAGGTCGCAGGCCCAGATGCCATGGTAATGAAGTGGCTCCCAGCCCACATGTGTGCTCCTTCTTGGGGCCCCGCTTCAAGATGGGCTTGATGGACTGGTGGGTGCCCGAGGATGGCATGGGCCCGCACGATGGCTCCGTTGTGGGGTGGGTGCGCTCAGCCTGGGCTGCAGATGATGGGAGGGAAGGGTAGGCAGGTCTCTGAGAAGCTTCGGTACCCTTGGGAGCGCAGGGCCTCTGCGCTCCCCAAGAGCGGAGGGCTCATTCTGGAGTCTTGCCCCGCCCGGGCTGCCAGCTGGGGCACCAGGAGCTCTGATAAAAGTGCCAGCACCAGGAGCCAATCAAGTGACTCGGGACGGAGCCCTGGGCAGTGGTGGTGGTGGCGGTCCCCCAGGCAAGGGCCGCCCGCCTAACAAGGGCCGTGGGGCCTCGGTGAGCGGTGAGCCCAGCTTGGCAGGCTTGGCAGGTCTTCCTCCGTGGAAAACGGCAGGTGTGTGACGTGGGAGATCCAGGCGGACGGCCCCAGGCTGGTCCTGACCCCAGACATCCCAGCCTCAGAAAGGGGGGGAAGCCCCGAACTGAGGAAGGAGAGCAGCAGGGTGGCCGTGGCGGCCCAGTGGACAGGCCTCCGCCGTCTGAGTCCGTGCGTCCCCCAGGTTCCGGTGGGGAGCCAGGGTGCGCCCGGCCTGCTGCTCCAGGAACCTGTCCTGAGCTGCGTGCCGCATCGCTACGCCCAGGAAGTGAGCCGGCTCTGCCACCTGTCGGCAGGGACCTACCGGATCGTGCCCTCCACCTACCTGCCGGACACAGAGGGGGCCTTCACGGTGACCATCGCCACCAGGATAGACAGGTGGGGCTCCAGGGCTGGGGGCCCTCAGTGTATGGTGTGCCCCTCCCGTCGTCGCCTCCGCCCCGCCCGCCCGGCTCTGACTGTCCCAGCAGACCGGCAGGGGAGCACGTCAGCTTGCAGGCGCCAGGCCAGAGAGCGCGGCCGCTCCTCGAGCTGGCGGCCAGCCGGGCTACCTGTCCTCTCTCCTGCAGGCGCTCCATTCACAGCCAGGAGAGGCTGGGGCAGCTCCTTCAGGAGGTAGGTGTGGGGCTTGGGTCAGGGCTCGGCACCGTACTCCGCCCAGGGGCCGCGTTCCTGCAGGCTCCTCCCGGGGGCCGCGCCGCAGGCCGGTCTGTGCCCTGGGACACAGGCACCCTCGTCTCTTGCCAGGAGGGCCGGGAGGCTGGGGCCGCAGTTACACCAGGGCAGTGCGGCCAGGTGCATGAGGGGGTGGGCCCCCGCCGCCGCCCACACCTCGCCGTCTTCCCTCCTGCAGGCCTCCTTCATGGCAGTTAGGAAAACCTAACCGGCTGACCCCCCGTGTCAGCTCTGGCGACTGGAGGTTCCGAGGGGCTCCCTCACGCAGTGCCACCAGCCTCAGCACCACGGCGGCCGCGCGTGCTCGCAGGTCCAGGTGAAGACCCCGGCCCGCGGGGCAAGTAGCCCGGGGCGCAGCAGGTGCTGCGGGGAGCGCACACCGAGCGTCTCCGTTCCACGCGGCTAGGGCGCAGAGCTTCCCGGCGACCCTGCACAGCATCTGCGCCTGGCCCCGGAGAGAGGCCCTACAGCAGACGAGAGCATAGTATGACAAATCTTGTTTAGGACTGTTCACGTGCAACATTTTTAGGAAGTAACTTTATAAATAAATGTGAGTGCTGAGTGGTTGAGAGACGAGCCGTCTCGGGTGGTGGGGGGCTCGGCCCGCTCTCGCTGAGGAGGAGCGGCAGGCCCGGGCCCTGCCTCCCCAGGGGCCCCCGCCAGCCGCTCCTGCACTGGGGGTGGCCAAGGCCTCCGGGACGGGCCGGCTGGCCTGTGAGGCGGGCGCAGCAGGTGCTGAGGGGTTTGGAGGGCCGGGGAGGGGTGGGCACACGGGTACAAGAGCAGGAGGAAGGGCCTTGCCCCCGCTGGCTGCCCGGAGACACCCCGAGGGGCTGCCAGCTGCAGCTGTCTGCTCCTGACGTGGGAGGAGGCGTCCCTTCAGGCCCCTGGGCCCCTGACCAGTTGGACGCAGTAGGCTCTGATCTCAGCCGGGCCTCTCGCCCACCACCTCCCACTTCTCTGACTCGCCAGCGCCCTGTTGTCACCGTCACCCAGGTGTCCAGCTAACGCGCCACCCTTCCAAAGGAGGGCAGGGGGCCGCTCCCGAGAGAACCGCTGCTCACTGCCCCACCCCCCTCCACATAAGGCAGGACGTCTCTAGAAGGCAGGGCCTGGCCTTTCTGTGGCAGAGGGGCGGGATCAGAAGCTGGTGGCGCTGCGTGAGTGGCCCTCGCTGCGACCCTGTGACCGGTTCTCTGGGGCCGAGTGAGGACAGAGGAGGGCCCCCAGGATCTGCAGCCTCTTAGATGGGAAGGCAGCCTGGAGGAGGCAGCCAGCCACCAGCTAAGCGGGGCTTCGGGGCCCGGCCACGGCCATGGGGCGCAGGCAGTGGCCCCTGTGCCAGAGGAGGCGGAGGGTGTGCCCCAGCACGTGCGCCCTCCTGGCCAGCAGCCCGCTGGCCCACGCCAGCCTCGTCCTTCCTTCACGTGGCTCCTTGAGCTGACCTTGCCCCCAGGGCATCCTCAGTGGCTGCCCATGCCAGCCTTGTCCTTCCTTCACGTGGCTCCTTCAGCTGACCTTGCCCCCAGGGCATCCTCAGTGGCTGCCTGGTTCCCCTCGGCAACACCACCTCCTGGCCCAGTGACCTCCAGAAGTAGCTTGCGTTCTCTGGGCTTCGGTGTCCTTGTGGAAAACGTGTTCGGGCTCTGGCCACGCTCGGTGTGTCCCGTGTCTGGGCTCTGGCTCTCTGCTTTGCCCTGGAGCCCTTGGCCTGGCTCGGCCTGCGGAGTGGATACCAGCTTGGCTCATCCTGCTGAGGAAGGGAGTGATGGAACGTGGACCTGTGCCCCCACCACCCCACAGTGAGACACACACCCCCCCCACCAGGCATCAGACACCTCCAAGCTCCGTCTCTCTTCTCATGTCTGCCGTCGTCCCCCACTCCCAGCCCGATGCAGGATGCACCAGCTGAGCTGGGGGGTACAGACCACAGAGCCCCACAGGCTCAGGGCCGGCCCACAGCTGCCTCACCCGTCTGCCATGTTGACTGGTATGGACTGGAGCCCCCCCGCCCCAGCCCTGGCCTGCAGCTCCAGGGACCCCAGCAGACACGGCTGGCCACACCAAGGGAGTCCCAGCGGCCAGGCCCCAGTGGAGTCCCGATTCTGTGCACCTGCCAGTAGGGGACTGTGTAGCGTGAAGGGCCTCCCCCCTGCGTCCGGTGGCCCCAGCTGACCCGGAAGGGTGGGTTTGGGTGTGTGCAGCTGAGAACAGCACCTTTTCAGCCTTCCCGGCAGACGTTGCCCCACATCACCTGTTCGGGCTTCCTTCTTAGCACTTCCTGCTTCAGGCAGGCAAGCTGTGCCCTCCCCGTGGGAGCCGTGTCCTGCCCAGTCCTGGGCCTGGGTCTGCTCTCATTGGCCTCGCCTGCCCCCTCCCCCAGGCCTGGGTCAGCCTTGGGGGCGTCAGGTGTTCTGGGGTGAGTATCAACATCCTGGTGTCCTGGGCGCAGTAGTCAAGGAGGGGGCCTGGCCAGGCAGGGCTTCCCAGGTGAGAGGCAGGATGGAGCTGGGTGAGCAGGCCCAGGCCAGCCAGGCTGGGGCAAGGTTCTCAGATGCTGCAGGCCCCTTCCTCTCTGTTTCTCTGTCTCTCCATTAATAGTCATTTCTTTCTTGCTCAGTGTCCCATGTCTGCGTCATTTGGTCTTACTAGATTTTTTTTCTTCTCTAATATTTAACAGATGGAAGCTAGATTTGCTGCCTTTTGAAATGAACAGAAGAGTCACTTTTTTCCTTGGGACACTTTGGTGTCTTGGGGACCCCAACCCAAGGCCTTGGACATGGCTGCTCCATCAAGGAGATGCTGTTTACTGGTTTGAGGATGAGTTTTAGGGGGCAGGCTGGGTCTTCCAGCCCCCAGGAGTACTCAGCTCTGCGGCTCGGGCCCAGTGCCCACCTGGGGGACCTGAGCTGCAGGGCTCCGGCTGGTCCTCTGATTCCCAGCAAGTGCCATCTGTCAGCACGGACAGTGGTCACGCGTCTGGCCTGGGAGCCTGCTCACTCGGGCCCTGGGGGATACGTGGCATGGAAGTTTAGTCACCAGGCTTGTGCACGGTTGCCTAAAGCACCCCCCATCCCATGCCTGCCCTTCCCCCCCCCCCCCCCCCCCCCCAGGGCCAGGGCTCAGGCTTTGCCCATCCTCAGCTGTCTGTCCCTTCCCAAATCACCCAGGAGGAGAGGCTGATAGACAAGAAGACCGCCCTGCCTTGGGCTGGGCTGGCTGCTCTGTCAGGGGTCAGTCCTGGTCCCCTGTGTGTTCGTGGGGCCTGGACAAGTGTGATGTTGGGGCACCGGGATGCGTGTGTGTGTGTGTGTGTGTGTGTGTGTGAGAGAGAGAGAGATCTGATTGATGTGCTCTCATCCCTCATCCGCCAAGCCCCAAAGAGAAGACCCATCGGCATCAACATCCCTCTCTACCCTGCTCCTCCATTCCTTCATTCTGAAGCCCCTCTGAGCATGTGTGGGGTGTTATGGATGTGGCCAAGAGGCCCAGCACACCTGCCCTTGAGGCATGCACAATCCATTAGGGATGACTATCTGCACACAGGTCATGTGGATACTCCTGATGGTGAGGGACAGAGGACACATGGGGGTGGTCCTTGACCAGCCTGGGGCCAGCAGTGCAGGGCAGGGGCTGACAGAGGAGCTGGGCACCCGCAGGGAATGGAAAGAAGCTCTCTCTGCCTACGGTGTGGGGAGTAGGCTCAGAAAATGTATTAGCTCTGGCCCGGGCAGTGCGGGGTGGAGGCTGCTGCCCAGGCGGGTGGTGGAGGCCGCCCAGCCCCCCAGTTCTGAGGAGGCCTCAGCTCTCCAGGCCAGAGCGGATGGCCCCGAGCTCCGAGTCCCACACGGAATGGGCTTCATCCTCGGGATATTGGGTGGTTCCCAGCTAGTGCCCTCCTTTGTGTGTAGTCCCTGTGGGGCTGGGCCGGGCGGGAGCTCTCTGGGCACAGCATCTCTGTCCTCTCGGCTCAGGCTCACACGGGCCCCCCAGGCCTGCCTCTCCACCCGGGAGCCCCCCGCATAGACACAGCTTAGCAGCTTAGACACACGCGTGTGTGCACGCGTGTCCGTGTGTGTATAGGTACATGCACGTATACGTGTAATGTCAACCTCAGAAATAAAGCTCAGTTATTTTATCAGCAAAATGGGTTTATCTGGAAACCGAGAATTGCACTTCAAGACAAGCATGGAAGGAGAGGAGGCTTTTTTATAGCGGGGGCAGGTGGTTGAAGTGTAGTGGCTTCTCATTGGCTGGGCCGTGACAGCCTCTCGTTGGCTGGGCCGTGACTGTCTCTCATTGGCTGGGCCGTGACTGCCTCTCATTGGCTGGGCCGTGACTGCCTCTCATTGGCTGAGCCGTGACTGCCTCTCATTGGCTGGGCCGTGACTGCCTCTCATTGGCTGGGCCGTGACTGCCTCTCGTTGGCTGGGCCGTGACTGTCTCTCATTGGCCGGGCTGTTGCCAGGGCCAGAAGGAAATCTTTCTTCCTGCTGCTGGGGTAGGAAAGTAATATCGGTCCCCCTGCAAGGTGGTGCCTTCCTAGGGGGGGTGGTCTGCAAATGGCCACGAGTGGCAGGCCTGGAGAGTTTCCCCTGCGGTTCGCAACCCCATTCTCAAAGAGTTTTCTTCTATTCAGTTTCACAGTGTATGTGTGATGGTGTATGTTTGCTGTGTTTGCATGTACATGTGTATATGTGTCTGTGGTTATGTATACGCACAGACGTGCATATACGTGCACGTGTGCAGGTACACATACGGCTATGCACGCGTGTGGACGTGTGTGTACATACATGACGTGTGCGTGAGGAAGAGGAGGGGGCTCCTGCACCCCAAAGCCGCATTGGCCCCATGCAGCCCGCAGACCTGCTGGGGCGGCCCTGGGCCGCCCTCTGTGGTCAGGAGTCCTCTCCTGGGCAGGCCTGTTCTGTTCCATGGTTTCTCCCACTGTCTGTGTCCGGCAGGGATTTCTCACCCTTTTAGGGCCACGGAGAAGACCCCCCTTCTCCTACACTACCATGGAGTTGAAAGAAAACTCACAGATGTCCTTTCCTTACTTTTTATAGATTTGTAGTTGGTACTTAGCCTTCCACTTCTTAAACTTTTAATTTTGGGAATTTTCAAACAGATACAAAAAGAACAGTAGTGAACCCCATGTGGTCATCACCCCCAACTCCAGCAACGATCAAATCATGACTGCTACTATTTCACCCACCCTCCATCTACTAGCTTGGGATATTTTGAAACAAATGCCAGACATCATATCATGTCATCTACAAAAATTTCAGTGTGGATAAAAGATGAAGATTGAAAAAATACACGTGCAGGACAGCATTGCCACACCCAACCCCAAATGAGCAGGACTTTAGTTTTATCACACATGCAGTCAGTCTTCACCTCTTCCCCGTTGTCATATACACCTTCAAAAATAGTTGGATTGGATTGGGATCTGAGGAGTCCGGCTCGGGGCCCAAACCCTGTGTGTGATCTCCGAGGCCTGCCCGTAGGCGGCCACAGAACTGTGGCCTGCAGGCCTCGCCGAAGCAGCCCTCCCCGCCCAGCTTTGCAGGCTGTGAGTGGGCCTGTGCCAAGGGCTCTTCGCACACGTGCATGGCTAGGCGTTACCGCCGTCAGACCTGCTTCCCGGGGTCCTTGGCTGAAGCTCTTTTTCCCACTGTGACTCGGTGCTTTCCACTCCCAGCCTTGCCCCACTGTCCCTGGTGCCCCCGCACCATACCCAGGTGGGAGCCTCATTCAGGGCTCCTCAGGAGTGAGGTGGTCCTCTCGCCCGTCTGCAGGCGGTCGGACTCTGGCTCATGTAGCCATGGGGGTAAATGGAACACTGAGAGGCCGTTGCCTTTCTTTGGTCTCTGGACTTTGCTGTGACACTTGATTGTGACTTGCAGTTTGGCTCGGCATCCTAATTGGCCGCAGACACCAGCAGCTCAACAGGATGCAAATAAAGTCCCTCCACTGACTGATGTGTGGTCGAGTCTCTTAAGTGACACATTCTTCCTTCATCTCTTTATCTCCCCTCGTGACTCTTGCTTTTGATGCCCAGCCCTGCAGAGTGGCCCACAGACTGGAGCTTGCTGCCGGCACCCCTGGAGTGTCATGGGTCCTATTCCATGCCCTCTCTGGCTCTTGTCCCCGGGACCCAGCTCCAGTGGCTTAATCAAGCTCAGTTGTGATTTTTTGTCTGTGGCCAGCCACTTCATGAAGGGACTGGTTGTTTGTTAAGTATAATTGCAAATTCATGGATTTAAGCACTTTTTTGTGTTCCAATTCATGGAAATGTTTCTCCTATTGACATTCAAGGCATCTCATCTTTGGCCAGTGGGAGTGAACTTGAGTTAACTCCTGAATCCTTTAGACATTGGCCAAGAGTCTTGATCTACTTTGTTCTCTAGGATGAAAAACTATTCCAGGCCCATTCTATACATTTCCTAATCCAGACCTGCAAGCATCCACTGCCTTCAGGAGCCCCTCTTTCTCTTCAAGAGAAATGGTATCTAGAGACCAATATCTGGGTGCTTGGGGTGCTTGTTTTTAGGTCTTGTCAGTGGACAGAACTAAGATCCTAACTTTTCTTTTTAAGATATAACGCAGTATGAGCACATACTGATACTATTCACTCAAATTCACATCTGCATGCTTTTCACTGAACCTTTTTGAAAATACATCTGCATCTCCTTTATTCCACACCGGGGGGCGCCTGGATGGCTCAGTCGTTAAGCGTCTGCCTCCGGCTCAGGTCATGATCCCAGGGTCCTGGGATCGAGCCCCACATGGGGCTCCCTGCTCAGCGGGAAGCCTGCTTCTCCCTCTCCCACTCCCTCTGCTTGTGTTCCCTCTCTCGCTGTGTCTCTGTCAAAATAAATAAATAAAATTAAAAAAAAAAAGTTATTCCACACCGGAAACTTCAACAAAGCCCAGCATTATTCATTTGTGTATCCCACAACACAATAATCCCAAAATAACAACACCAACATTACTATCAATAGCATGATTACTGAAAACAGTTTAAGATGCTTTTATGTATTTTAAAAATCCTTGGGTTATGAAGATATACAGATGAAACTGTGTTTTAACATTATTTGGAAAAGGATTACAGAAAATGAACCATTTTTGACATTCTTTTTGTACCCAGGCTATATAGGTAACAGTCAAATACTGGATTTTAAAATCACTTGGAAGAGTTTGCTAGGATTTTGCTATCAGGTGATGATGCAAATTAATTGGCTTTATCTTGCTTTCAAGTTTAAAAATTTCCTTTAGGGGCGCCTGGGTGGCTCAGTTGGTTAAGTGTCTGCCTTCAGCTCGGGTCATGATCCCAGGGTCCTGGGATCGAGCCCCACGTCAGGCTCCCCAATCAGTGGGGAGCCTGCTTCTCCCTCTCCCACTGACCCTCCCCACCTCTCTCTCTCTCTCAAATAAATAAGTAAAATCTTAAAAAAATAAAATTTTCTTTTAAAAATGTAATTTAATTTAGTAATTACATATTTACATGCTCTAAAGCCAAATCTACAAACCAAGATATATGCCTATATGTAGAAGTCTAGTTTCTATTCCAGTCTCCCTTCACCTCCTTCCTGCCTGTTCCCTATAGGTAATAGTTTAATTTAAAACAAATTTAATGGCTTATTCTTCCATTTGTAAAGATAGAAGCTGCTGGCGTGCTATAAATGAATAAATACACATCAATGCTTTTTTTCACTTAGCAATCTGTCCTGGAGAAAACCATTTAATAACGTATAGACTATTTCTCCCTCCCTTTTTACAACCTCCCGGTGCCCCACGGTGTGGCCAGCAAGCATTTCATGTGCACAGGGCCCTCTGGACAGACATCTGGGGTGTCTGCAGGCTGTGCATCCCTACCGCATGGCAGGGAAGGGCCTCTCCAGTCTCCTCTTCCTCACTCGGCTGGTCTGTCTGTGGCACAGATTCCTGGAAGTGGGATTACTGGGTCAAAGCGCAAGGCCTCTCTAATTTTGCGGGATTTCCAGGTCCCCTCCAATGGGGTTCGTATCATGTTAAATACCAACGGATGATCTCTGAGGATGTTTCCCCCATAGATAGCTGTCAGACACTGGGATTACCTCATCTGACAGGGACAAATCGTATTGCGATGACTTTTAATTTATATTTCTCATTTTATGAATACGCTGAGCATCTTTTTAGGTCTCCAATGAACGATCTGCTTCTCATGGTTCCTTTTCTGTGAATCTGTTCCTATCTCTGTCCGTTGGTGTCTTGCCCAACCTCCAAAGGAAGTGGTCCTGGGGAGGGGCAAGAAGGACACGGGACGAGCAGGGAATGCTCAGCAGAGTTCGTCAGGGGAAACTGAGGACCCCTGCCCTGGCATCTCCTGGGGTGCTGGAAAAACAAGCCACTTCTTGGGCCCACCGCAGACAGACTAGCTCAGAGGAGCGCAGGTGGGAGGCCTGCTGCCCTTGGGGTTGGGGGGGAGCCTCCTCCTGAAGATGCCCCTTTCCAGGGAGATGGCCCTTCTCGGGCTCCATGCACATCAGCTGTGGACATCCCCAGTGACTTTCAGGCAGGGGTGACTGCGGCGCTCTGCCCACCACACTCTCAGCCAGGCAGGTTCTTGAGCAGCAGTGCCCACCCAGACGAGGAGCCCTCCTAGGGAGGGTGGGCGCAGTGAGTGGGGATGGCTCCCCAGGTGGGCTCCAGGACCGCTGTCTCTGCTGCCCCCGGGGACCAAGGTAGGGAGGCGCTCGAAGGCAGCATCCCCAGGCGTGGGGCCTGGCGTGGGACCGGGCGTGGGACCAGGCGTGGGGCCTGGCGTGGGGCCTGGCGTGGGACCAGGCGTGGGGCCTGGCGTGGGGCCTGGCGTGGGACCAGGCGTGGGGCCTGGCGTGGGGCCAGGCGTGGGGCCTGGCGTGGGGCCTGGCGTGGGACCAGGCGTGGGGCCTGGCGTGGGGCCTGGCGTGGGACCAGGCGTGGGGCCTGGCGTGGGACCATGCGTGGGGTCTGGCGTGGGGCCTGGCGTGGGACCGGGCGTGGGGCCTGGCGTGGGGCCGGGCGTGGGACCGGGCGTGGGGCCTGGCGTGGGACCGGGCGTGGGACTGGGCGTGGGACCGGGCGTGGGGCCTGGCGTGGGACCAGGCGTGGGACCAGGCGAGGGGCCAGCAGCCAGCCTTGCAGTCAGAGAGCGCCTGAGGCAGAGAATCGGGAAGGAGGTCTATCAGAGTAAGGGAGCCGTTCAGGGGTGAGCAAAAGCAGAAAGTGCCTGGGAGGCACCTGCGGCTAGAGCAGCACCCCACCACCCACCCCACCGCCCCTGCCTGGCGGGGTCCCAGAGGGGGACGGCCCCTCAAGGAGCCAGCCTGGGAAGAGGGGAGCAGCAGCTGTCCAAGGGTGAGTGAGCCATCCTGGGGCAGCTGGGGGCCGTGGGGTCAGCCGAGCGCCAGGCACCTGCTGCCGTCCCTGCTGGATGAGGGTGCGGTGCGTGGCATGTGGCAGCCCGCAGATGGGGACACTTCTGCCATTTGCGGGTGTCCAGATGCCCCGAGGCATCTTCCAGCTGGGGGCAAAAGGCGCAGCTGAGCACAAGCAGGGGGGTGGGAGGTGTGGGGGAGGCCGGCTGCCCCGAGCCCTGGTCCCTGAGTGTCTGAGGGCAGAGACTGTGCGAGGCTGCGCCCTGCTGCTGCTGGAGGAGGGACAGGGGAGGAAGGTGCTCAGGGTGCTCCCGTGCTCAGCCTGGGTGTCTGCCAGGCTGGGGGCAGGGGGTGGGAGGGACAAGACAGCAGCCCCCCATGGACACTCAGACCCCTCTGTTCCCATGCTGCACCCCCCAGTGTGACCTAGGATGCCACAGGTGGGAGCAGCCCAGCCAAAGTCAGCAAGACCTCAGGCCCTCAGGCCCCCCTCAGGCCCCCCTCAGGCCCTCAGGCCCTCAGGACCCCTCAGGATCTCCTCAGGAGCCCTCAGGCCCTCAGAACCTCCTCAGGACGCCCTCAGGACCTCCTCAGGATCCCCTCAGTACCCCCTCAGGCCCCTCTCAGGCCCCCCTCAGGCCCCCCTCAGGAACCCCCTCAGAACTCCCTCAGGACCCTCTCAGGACCCCCTCAGGACCTGGGGACCTCCTCAGGCCCCCCTCAGGCCCCCCTCAGGACCCTCTCAGGACCCCCTCAGGACCTGGGGACCTCCTCTAGGCCCCCCTCAGGACCCCCTCAGGCCCCCCTCAGGACCCTCTCAGGACCCCCTCAGGCCCCCCTCAGGCCCCCCTCAGGCCCCCCTCAGGAACCCCTCAGAACTCCCTCAGGACCCTCTCAGAACCCTCTCAGGATCCCCTCAGGAACCCCCTCAGGAACCCCTCAGAACTCCCTCAGGACCCTCTCAGGACCCCCTCAGGACCCCCTCAGGACCCCCTCAGAACTCTCTCAGGACCCTCTCAGGACCCCCTCAGGACCCCCTCAGGACCCCCTCAGGAACCCCTCAGGACTCCCTCAGGACCCTCTCAGGACCCCCTCAGGACCCCCTCAGGAACCCCTCAGAACTCCCTCAGGACCCTCTCAGGACCCTCTCAGGCCCCCCTCAGGACCCCCTCAGGACCCCTCAGGCCCTCAGAACTCCCTCAGGACCCCCTCAGGACCTGGGGACCTCCTCAGGACCCCCTCAGTACCCCCTCAGGACCCTCTCAGGCCCCCCTCAGGCCCCCCTCAGGAACCCCCTCAGAACTCCCTCAGGACCCTCTCAGGACCCCCTCAGGACCTGGGGACCTCCTCAGGCCCCCCTCAGGCCCCCCTCAGGACCCTCTCAGGACCCCCTCAGGACCTGGGGACCTCCTCTAGGCCCCCCTCAGGACCCCCTCAGGCCCCCCTCAGGACCCTCTCAGGACCCCCTCAGGCCCCCCTCAGGCCCCCCTCAGGCCCCCCTCAGGAACCCCTCAGAACTCCCTCAGGACCCTCTCAGAACCCTCTCAGGATCCCCTCAGGAACCCCCTCAGGAACCCCTCAGAACTCCCTCAGGACCCTCTCAGGACCCCCTCAGGACCCCCTCAGGACCCCCTCAGAACTCTCTCAGGACCCTCTCAGGACCCCCTCAGGACCCCCTCAGGACCCCCTCAGGAACCCCTCAGGACTCCCTCAGGACCCTCTCAGGACCCCCTCAGGACCCCCTCAGGAACCCCTCAGAACTCCCTCAGGACCCTCTCAGGACCCTCTCAGGCCCCCCTCAGGACCCCCTCAGGACCCCTCAGGCCCTCAGAACTCCCTCAGGACCCCCTCAGGACCTGGGGACCTCCTCAGGACCCCCTCAGTACCCCCTCAGGACCCTCTCAGGACCCACTCAGGACCCCCTCAGGCCCCCCTCAGGCCCCCCTCAGGAACCCCCTCAGAACCCCCTCAGGACCCTCTCAGGACCCCCCCAGGACCCCCTCAGGACCCCCTCAGGGTGCCCTCACATCCCCAAGATGCCCAGTGTCTCTTGTCCTGTGGCGGTTTCTCCCTTCTGACAAAGCCCCCTCCCCGCCTTGCTTGGGCCAATCTTTGTCCAGAAAGGACTCTGGACACGCTCTCCAAGTGCCCGGCTTGACCAGACCCTCAGTCCGGTGCTGCGGCGTCCCAGCAGAGCCTTCCTGGGTGCAGGGTGAAGGTGGAAGAAGGGGCTTCAGGGGAAAGATTTCCGAGGGGGTGCTGAGGGAAGCACAGAGAGCAAGACCAGGAGCACTGGATGGCCAGAGCCAGGGCTGCCCACCCCAGGACTCCGGGGCTCCAGAGTGTCGTCCTAGACCCGCGGCCTCCGTGTCGGGCCCTGGCGTGCGCTGCTCTCATGTCGCAGATAGCATGAGAGGTCCAGAGGCCAGGGAATGTCAGAGCTGGCTGGCTGACCAGACGACCGCAAGCTCTTCCTGCCACCACAGGTCTGCGCGCCAGCTTCTGGAAACGGGCGGCCATCCTCCAGCGCCCCCTCCAAGGCTGTTCCCCGCGGGCCTGGAGGCTGGGGGGCTCTTATCATTGGCTTTCCTGCACCCCGGCCATGTCCTGGGGTACAGGGTAGATGTCAGAGGGGAGAGGGGCCGGGGGCAAGGGGCCAGGAAGGTGTGACCGTCCCCTCCCTCTGAATGCTAAGGGAAGACCCCAGGGCCAGGGGATACTGGAGAGAAGAAGCCCTGCTAATGGGAGACAGTGCCTGGGGATGACCTAGGGATAGGCCAGCAGGGGTTCAGGTGTCGGGCGGAGTCCCAGAGTGTTTCCTGTGCGTGGGAGGGCCACTAGCCTGCCAAGAGCGAGGAGGAGCTCCCGTGGCAAGAGGAGGCTGGACCGGGGTGGGAGGGTCTGTGAGGAAGAGCGGGGGGCGGGGGGCGGGGGGGGCCACCAGCAGGCCAAGGCAGGGCCTCCGTGCTGAGGAGGGGAGGGGGACTCGGGATGGACGGCAGGTGGCACCGACCCCCACCCGTGACCCCTCCCACCCCATGGTGTCCCCAACACCCCCTCCCCCATGGCCTCTCCCCCACCACCACCATTCTCCCTTTCCCACCTCCCCAGCCCCGTGGCATCCTCATCTGGTTTTCCAGCCAGACCAGTGGGAGGGGGAGGAGTTTCCCAGACCCGGTTTCTGGGAAGAAGGGAGCAGAAAGTGTCCATGGTGGCGGTGGCCACAGAAGTGTGGGTCCTCTCTCTGCTCAGCTCTGCAGAGAGTCTAGACTTGTGGCTGAGCCCAGGTTCCAGTCGCCTTGCTGGTTCCATCTCCCAGGTGCCTGGGGCAGGGCTGGGGCAAGGGAGGCCGTGGCCTTGGGCCGAACGTCTCAGGGGCTGGCGGCACCCGGTCAGGAGGACTAACTGGGCTTTGATGCAGTCTTTTACTACGGAAGCCAAGGCACCAATCCGCCATGAAGGGAGAATCGCCTTGTGCTGAGGGCGGCACGGGGGCCTGGCGTTCCTTTGCTTCGGGCTCCAGTATGGGGGGAGGGGAGGTCTTGAAAGACCAGTGTCCACCCAGCCCCCAGCCTGGCTCCGAAGGTGGCCCCCTGGCCAGCCCTCGGGGGCTCCGCTCAGGCTTCCCCTACCCCCCCCTGTGGAAAGGGCCAGGTCTCAGAGCAGACTGTCAGGCCGCCCTCCCCTGCCCGCTATGTGCTTCAGGCTGTGGGAGAGAAGCTGCCTCCCTTCCTGCCCCTCCTCCAGGCTAGCGTGTCCCTTCCCTGCCCGGCTAGCACCTGTCCCCCTTCCAGAAAGCCCTCCCATCTCCACCTCCTCCCACCTTCCAGGCCCAGCTCAAGGGCCGCCTCCTCCAAGAAGCCTCCAGTCCTAGCATGCCCTCTGTGAACGCCCGGGAGTCGGGAGTTGATGGGAGCGCATGACCCCTCTGTGGGAGGGCGCACCCACCTGGGTGGTCTGCCTCCCCATGCCGTGTCCCTCGCGGTGCCCAGGCGGGGGCTCCAAGGGTGGGCACGAAGAGGGAGCAGACCAGAGAGAGTAGAGTGAGGTCAGAGTGGATGCACATTTTAGCTGGGGGAGTCGACCCTGGGTGGGTCAAGGCTGCACAGCCCGCTGTCCTCAGGGCCCTTTGCCCTCTTCCTAGGCACTTTGTTTGACCCAGGTGGGCGGGGCATCGTTCTCACCACAGGAGGGGAGCTCGGGGAGGACAGGAGCGCCCAGAGTTTGCAGCGTTTCCTAGGCCTGCCTCTGGGCCACATCCAGCAGCCTCCCTGGAGTGACTCAGGCCCCCCCCCCGACCCCCGCTTACTTCCCTAGAAGCCTCGGCTCCACAGGGCAATGATGCATATTTTGTCATCAGCAGAGTCGCCCTGTGTCCTCCCACCCCAAGTGTCTGGAGGAGCGGAGGACCAGGAGGAAGGGGCAAGAAGGATCCTCGGCACAGGCTGCCCCATGGGTTCTGCAGGTGCGAAGCAGGAGAGGGAGCTGGGAGCCCAGCAGGGGTGGTGGTGGCCGGGAGGGCAGGTCTGCTGAGCGTGGAGCGCAGGCTTGGGGAGGCGCCCAGGGGCTCCCCCGTGGGGCTGGAGGGGCTGGCATGGGGGAGCCCGCAGCACGGTCACACAGAGGCCCCACCCACCCCATGGTCCCCTCAGGGCCGCCGCCAGCTGGTTAGGACGCTTCAGGAGGCCTTCCTGTGTGGCCCCCCACTGACGTGGCTGAGAGCGGGGGTCCCAGGGACGGACAGAGAGGCAGGGAGAGAAGGGGGAGCCACGCTGGGACCCCGGTCAGGCTGGACCAGGAAGGATGTGCCTGGGGCCACTGTGGTGGGGAAGGGTGGAGACAAGCCCCTCGTCAGGGGCCTCTGGGCAGGGGGCCCTGGTGGCAGGGTCTGGGGGTCGCCGCCCAGCCACTCCGTCCCCTGGGCCTCAGTTTCTACCTCTGTGAATGGGCAGCGGTGGTGGGAGCTCGCCCTCGCCCCTTGAAGCCTGTGCAGGGAGAGATGCTGGGGTGGACTGCGGGACCCATGTGGAGGCCCACAGGTGCATGGGGCTAAGTGGGGGCAGGGCCAGAGGCCTGGAGGAGCGGGGGGGCGGGGGGGCTGGTCTGGAGACCGGCTTCTGAGGAGGTGGGCCTGAGGAGGGGCAGCTGGGGGAGGGGCGGCAGGAGCAGAGCGGCAGGAAGTCACCTGTCTGGGGGCGTCTCCACATGTTGGTGGGTCAGCGGTCAGCGGTCAGCTGGTCAGTGGGGCATGGGCGCGGGCATGCCTGGGCATGTGGCCTTCCTGCCAGGACGCTGGCCCTGGAGGCAGGGACGCCGCCCCGCAGCCGCTGGGGGCCCAGCGCCGGGCTGCGCCCTCGTCCCCTCACTCTCCGGAGCTGGGGGCTGGGGAGGAGTGGTGTGGTCTTGCTCTCCTGGGCTGTTTCCTCACCAAACAGGCTGGTTCTCTGTCTAGGAAGGCGGCGCGGGCTCCCACTTCCTTTGCCAGAAACTACCCCAGGCAGCCCTGAGCTGACACAGGGGGCAGGCCCTGGCACCCCCACTCCAGCACCCCCACTCGGCTGTTGTCAGCCAGCCCTGCCCCCTGCCTGCCTTAAGCGGGGTGCAGTGGTGCAGGCCAGTCCCACTCTCCTACCTCAGACACCTGCACAAGTGTGGGGGGGGGGGTGACAGCTCAGCTGGGAAAACAGGCTAATTTCCGTCAGTACCAACCCTGGAGACAGGGGGCACAGAGGGCCGAGCGTGTGATGGGGGTTCAGAGGGGTGAGCGTGGTGGGGGCTCAGAGGGGTGAGCGTGGTGGTGGGGTCTCAGAGCGGGGGTGAGGGTATGATGGAGGGTCTCAGAAGGGGTGAGCATGATGAGCTTTGGAACATCAGGGGAGCGTCCCGATGGAGGAGCTCTGTGGAGATGATGATCTGGAAAGGGGAGCCCGCCTCCCTGAGTGTGGGGGGCGTCCAGCACGGGCAGCAAATGCAGAGTAACTCCGGGTATCCTCCAGGGCCAGGACCCCCACCTCGTTTGAGACTCTGAAACCCACTTTGTGGGCTGTGACCAGGATTTGAGAAACCAGAATAGGAAGTGTCTGAGGGCCGTATTCCCGCTATGGGGGCCTGTCCTGTGACACTTCCGTCTCACTCACACGCAACCGTGCTGGAGCCCGCGGATTCCTTGTGTGGGGTCCCGGCTCCAGAGGCCTCTACAGCGCTCGGGCCAGGGGGGCCCGCACCCCACTCTCTGCCCGACTTCCCACTCCCAGGGAGCCCCACAGACCGCAGGGAAGGCTGGCGGAGGCTGCGGAGTGCGCCCGCCTCCCGGACGCCACCACAAGCTTCTTTCAGGTCATTGCAAAGGTAGTTCAGCGCAGAATCGAGGGCGCCTTTCCCGGAGGGTGGGGAAGCTGACTGATCCCAGCATCAGGAAGGAAGCCGTGCTCTCAGGTGCTGCTGCCCTCCCCCCAGCCTCCCCCTGCAGGAAACTCAGAGCCTCTGGCTGCTGAGCCCTCACTGTGAGGGCCCTTCTTCCTGCGCTCCCTGCAGGGGAAGACCACAGACACGCTGTTCTGCCAGCTCTCCGAGGGCATCTACCTGGCCAACGGGCACATGAGCATCAGCCTGGTCACGGCCATCACTGTGGACCGCTACGTGGCCGGGCGTGCGGCACCCACTGTGCGCCCGGGGGCTCCGCTCCCCGCAGCAGGCGCGGCCGTGTGCACGGCGCTCTGGGTGCTGGTGGCCAGCTTGCTGGGGCTGCGCTGGGCCCTGGGGGCGCAGGAGGGCGGCTTCTGCTTCTCCAGCAGCTCCAACACCGCGGCCTTCTCACTGCTGGGCTTCTTCCTGCCGCCGGCCGTGCTGGTCCTCTGCTCTCTGTGCGTGGCCACTGCCCTGGACCAGAGGCCAACCACCAGCCCCGACCAGGCAGAAGCGACCCGGAGGGCCACCCACAACCTGGCCGTGTTCGTGGTCTGCTTCCCGCCCTTCTGCGTGGCGGCCTGAACACCGCGGCCATCCGCTACGCCTTCTGCATCACGGGCGAGCTCTCAGATGCCAACTACTGTCTGGACACCATCTGCTACTACTTCATGGCCAAGGAGTTCGGGAGGCATCTTCACTGGCCTCGATGCCCACTGCCAAGGTCCACAGAACCAGAACTCTCTCTGTGCGACCCTCGCCTAGGAGACCAGTCGTGGGCACATGGGCCAGGTCCCAGGCTCTCTGGGAGGTCCTGCCTGCTGGGGCATCCCTGAACTCGCTGTGGCCACTGGGCACGGTGCAGGTGGCCTGGCTGGGTGGAGAGGACCTGGCCACAGACCCCGCGGTGGTGTCACCCCAACCCCTGGGATGGAAGAGGGTCGGGACCAGGGCAGGAGGACTGAGGCCTGGGTGAGGCCAATCCCAGGAGCCCTGGGACGGGACCGACACTGCAGCGCCCAGAGTCCGGTACCCCTGGGCACTGGGGTAGATGCTTGCTCTGTGCCGTGAGGCCTCAGTGGGCAGCCTTCTGCTGCAGTGGGGCTGGAACAAAGCTGGCCCCCAGGCCTGGCCCTGGCCCTGTGTGCGTGTGTGCACGTGCTCCCCACACTTATGGTGGGAGGGCTGGGGCGTCTTCCTAGACGGCTCTCAAGGGCTCTCTACCTGGGGGCTCTCCTTGGGCCCCCCCGCCCACTCCCAGCCATCTGCAGGCCTCGCGGGGGCTATTTGCAGCTCCCGGAAGGGCCACGCTGACAGCCCGCTTTCCTCCCGCCAAGGAAGGGTCAGGACCCCTCGACCCCCTGTAGGGGCTGCACAGCTGCACTAGGCTGGGGGTGGGTTGGGGGCAGTGAGGAAGTGCAGGGACAGGCCAGGGTCTGTCGAGGGCACACTCCCCTCGGGCTTCCTTCAGGGAAGCTGGAAGACCCTGCCCGGTGGCCTCAGGGCCTGGCAGGAGTGTGGACGCCCAGGCTGGTGTGTGTTGCACCCACCTCTCCTCGGCCTCCCTGCACTCAGACCGGAACCACCAGAGCCTTCTAGAGGCCCCCTGTGGCGCCGGCCCAAGTTGGGCCTGGGCACCAGACAGCCACCCTGTGCTGCTCTTCCGCCCGTGTGCTCAGAGCCAGAAGGGAAGCCCTGTCTGCAGCCCTGTCCTGGCCTCAGGCGCCTGCCGCTGAGGCAGTCCTCAAGTCCCCGGGTCAGGGGGCGCTGCTGAGAGGGGCCCATGCTCGGGGAGGTCCACACTCAGGGGATCTCTGCTCGGGGGTGGAGCACTCAGGGAGCGCATGCAGCTCGAATCCACTGCTGTCCTAGCCTGGGGCTCAGATGCTCCCCCCCCCCGCCGCTGGGGACCCCCTCCCTTTATCACCTTGGGTAGGTAGTGCCTACCCTGCCCACCGACGTGCACCAAGGGCCGGGCGGGCCGCGTTCTGTCCTGAGAAAGCATAAAGATGTCCAGGCGTGTCCAGTGGAGCAGGGCTGAGAGGAGCAGGGCAGGTGTGAGCAAGGGCAAGGCTGCGATGGACCTCTCCCCGCCCCCCCGCAGGCAGACCACCTCCCTCTCCTGCCCCCATCCTGCGCCCCCACACAGGCGCCGGCCCTGGGACTAGGAGCCCCAACCTCCTCCCAGGCTCCCCACGACCCCCCACACCCCTCACCCCATCCAGTGCTCCCCACCCTCGTCCTCCTGCCGGCACTTCCTAGGCTGGCACCCGGCCTCTCATCACAACCCTGCCCTTCCAGGGGCATGGCCAAGTGGACAGTTCCTAGGCTGTGACCTCTACTGCCCTGACCCTCCAGGGTTCTCCTTTTCTAAGGGACCACAGAGTCCGGAGAAGGTTTCTCACCGTAGGGTGGGATGACCACTGGGCTGAGCAGCGAGCCAGGGCCGGGTGTAGACGTCCAGGGCCGTCCTCGGCCAGATTTGGGGATCCAGGGAGAGAGGCAGAGTAGGGCCTGGGCTCCGCTTCGCCCCCTGCCCCCCGCTCAGCATTGTGGGGGGAGGGGGACGCCCAGTGGCCAGTGTGGAGCAGCCATGGAGGAACAGAGCTTTAGACCAAAGGTTGACAGGCGGGTGACAGGAGCTTCCCAGAGCCTGGGTTAAAAACTCGGAACCTCGCTCTGGGCTCCGCGGGCAGTGGAACCTGCACAGGTGGGGGCTGAGCTTGGCCATGTTTTTGCGTGCGCCCGCCAGGGCTGTCCTTGCAGGGGCGGAGGAAGTGAGGGTGGGTGGCGGAGACCTCTGCGGGGTCTCCTGGTGGCGGCCTGGTGCTGCTGGGTGGCGGGGAGGCCGGCCATGCTCCGAGGTCACCAGCCTCCTGAGGTGCACACTGCCCCACCTTGCCGGCCCCCGTCCATGGCTGGGAGATGGGATGTGCGCACCTCTGTCCCTCAGGCCTCTCCGGGCTCCCAGTAAGGGCAGGCGGCTGGACTTGCATGGACTTCCGGAAGGAACGAGAAAAGGAGCAGAGGCAAAATCACAGATGGGAAGCATCCAAAGAACAGACTTCTGAACCCGAATCATGGCCCACACACTCTGAGAGGCTTCTGGGCTGGGCCGGACCGAGTGGAAGAGTCTCTCCCTAACGCCCCCCACCCTGGCCTAGAGGCCTCAGGGGCCAGTCTGGCACACGGAGCAGGTCCGGGCTCACCGTTAATTAGCAAGCCACAGGCACCTGAAAGCGGATTCACTTCGCGGCTGCATAAACAGGAATATAGGGCCCAGAATGTGGGAGGGCACCGCTTCATTCTCCCCCCGCGAGGATCACACCTAGGGTATTTTTTCTGGCCAGGGACACTGGCCTGTAGCGCGCCCTAGTCACCTGGGAGGGGGTCTGGAGGGTACGGCCGAGGGCTTGGCAGTAGCCAGAGGAAGTGTGAGCAGCAGATGAGTGAGGTGCTCCCAGAGGCAGGTGGCGTGTGCGATCTCCGAGGAGCAGACAGGTCTGGGTGGCTGTGGAGTGCAGAGCCACAACGGGGAGGGCCCCAGAGAACTGCCCAGGACCAGGCCGTGTGCGACCAGGTCACTGGGTGAGAGGCAGGATGTAAGCGTCCAGGAATCTCCATACAGAGCAAGGTGCTCCTGGGGAGGCCACGTCACTTGATTCCTACTAGGCCGTATGTCGTCGGCGATGTCTGGTGTCTCTGGCTCTTTCCTCTGGGGCAGTTTGCTTCTCGGTGAAGGCTCTCTCTTCCTGTCCCTGTTGGGGGTTGAAGCCTGGCCGCAGCAGGTCTCGGGAGAAGGTAGTCTGAGGGAGGCCAGCCATCAGCGGGCAGAGCTGCCCTTGGTCTCCTGTTCTCGGGGACCCACCTGCTGCGGTGCCCCAGAGGAACTCTTCCTGAGAACACGTGCCCATCTTCTACGGGGCAAGGGCGTATCAGCCAGAGACAGTGCTAGAGCGAACGGGGTTCTGCGGGGTGTGGGGGCTGCTGCCCAGCCTCCAGCTCAGCCCCCTGCAGCTGCAGGGCAGGGTTTGGGGCACCGCAGGGAGGGGGCAGCGGAAGGCGGAGTCGAGCCGACCGGAAGGTCAGTACTTCAGGAAACTACTGCCCCCATTTCCCAAGCTTCCAGAAGTCTCAGAGATGGAGGCTTGCATGCAGGGGCATCCCGGGGAGTGCTCTTGGGAACCCCACCCATAACGGGGCTGGCAAAGTGGACTGGGCCGAGGGAGCAGCTTCTGTGCCCGTGGGGTGCTCTGTGCAGAGAAGACCACGCAGCTGACCACACAGGTTACCATGGACGCGCTGCCTCTGAGGCACGCACCACTTGTTGAAGGCAAGTCTGGAGGGGCCTTGGGCTGTGAACTCTGGCAGCGCGTGTCTTGGTCATGACGGGGGGACCCCAGCAGCACCCCACGGCATCCACTACCACCTGCCACCCTGTCAGGCCGGGTGCCTGGACCCCTGAGCTGCAGCCTCCCGAGGCTGCGGGGGTGGGTCTCCGGGTCGTCCAGCCCTGAACGGGGCAGGCTTCCTGTCCGGGGTCTCCCCAGCCAGTGCCAGGGACGGTGCACAGGTGGGGGGCACCACCTGGCCAAAACGGGCCTCCTGGAAGCCGCACGCAGGCCCTCCTCCACCCCGTGTGAGGCCGGTCTCTGCAGGCTGGGGGCGCCCTCGCTCCCAGCCCTGAGCTCTCTGGGCAGCTGCAGAGGCGGCCCAGGGCTGTGGTCAGGAAGTAACGCTGTGCAGGGTGTCACGAAGAGCAGGCAGACGCAGAGAGAGCCAGGCACACGGCGGGTCTGGCTGTGCAGAGGGTGGCCCAGCCCAGCGCCCTGAGGCCCCAGCCATCCCAGACTGGTGAGTCCACCCACAGCCTGCCGTCCCCCTGCTGTCCCCTCCATGAGCCCTGTCCTGCCCTCACCCTGCTGGCCACCACAAAGGGCTCGCAGGAGCAGGGCCCCAGGCTGGCCTGCATCTGGCCCCGGGCTTCCCACGTGAGGACCGTGCCGAGCTCCAAGCCCAAGCAGGCATAGGGCAAAGGCTGGGGGGACAGTTAGCCTCTGACTGAGGTAAGATAGTGGGGGGGGAGCAGTGGGGGACAGAGGTAGAGCCGGGGGACAGAGATGGGGAGGCAGTGGGGGGCAGTGGGGGACAGAGGTAGAGAAGGAGGAGGAGAGAGAATGGGGGAGATGGGGGTAGGGTAGGGGGAGAGCTTTTGGTGGGAGGAAGGGGAAAGGAGGGCCCCAAGGAGGAGGGTAGACAGTGAGAGGGAGGGCAGAGAGGGGTGGCTGGGATGAGGGAGACACACAGACACAGAAGCAGGGAGACCAACAGAAAGGAGAGAAGACAGGGTCAGCCTGGGGATCCCACTGCTCTCCTGATGGGCCGGGGGTGCTCCCTCTCTGCAGACTGGCCTGTGGCCCCTGCCAGAGGGGCGTAGGGGCCCCACTCCATGGGCCATGGGCCGATGGTCCTTGGACAGGGCCACAGGATGTCAGGGGGCAGCGGGGGGGAGTAAAGTGGCAGAGGTCTTGGGCTGAGCTAAAGCCTCTGGTGGAGAAGCCCAGAGAGGAGCCCCCACAGAGCTCCCTTCCATGGCAGGGGGCCACTGTCCACACCCTGGAATCTAGTCCCTCTGGACGGGGCAGGGGAGGTGGCCTCAGTGGAGCTTCTTGGGGTCAAGAGAGGGAGGCCTTGGGGCTGTAACGGGAAGTGGGGGAAGGGGGGAGGGGGGGAGACAGAGAGCAGGGTGGTAGAGGAGGGGCGGGACCACAGCAGCATTTCCCTCCCTGCCCCCAGGTGAAGCTGGTCACCCTGCGTGGCCAGAGCCCCCACTGGCTCCCCACCGCCTGTCAGGCCGTGCGCCCCGATGGCCTCCGGGAACAGCTCTCATGGCTGCATAGCTGACCCGGGCGGGCGCGTCCTGTCCCAGGTTAGCAGGGTCTCCATCTGCTTCATCTTGGCTCTGGGGCTGCCGCTCAACGGCCTCGGGCTCTGGGTGTTCTGCTGCCGCCTGCGCAGGTGGACGGAGACCCGCGTCTACATGGCCAACCTGGTGGTGGCTGACTTCCTGCTGCTGCTGAGCCTGCCCGGAGTCCTGCACATGCTGGGCCAGGAGCAGGGGCACCAGGAGGGCCCTCTGTGCAGGGTTCTGCAGAGCTTCTACCATGTCAACACCTACATGAGCATGTGCCTCATCACGGCCATCGCCGTTGACCGCTACACCGCCCTGAGCTTTCCCCTGCGGGCCCAGGCCTGGCGCAGCCCCCGCCAGGCCGCCCTCACCTGCCTGGCCCTCTGGCTGCTGGTCTTTGGGACTGTGGCCCTGGTAGCGTCCTCGCTCCCCGCAGACGAGAACTTCTGCTTCGGGCAGGGACATAACCGGGGCACCAAGCCCCTTGCCTTCTCCCTGCTGTTCTTCTTCCTCTCACTGCTCATCCTCAGCTTCTGCTCGGGGCAGGTGCTCTGGCGTCTGCTCCGCGAACGCACGCGGGCGCCGCCCCAGGAGTCTGGCCGCATCCTCAAAGCCCGCCGTGTAGTGGCCACCAACCTGGCCACCTTCGTGCTCTGTTTCCTCCCACTGCACGTGGCCTTGATGGCCAAGCTTGTGGCCAAGTGGACAAGTGCAGCCCGCCCCACCGTCCAGAGCATCACTGACTTCGTCCAGGTGGCCGCCCGCATGGCCAACGCCAACTGCTGCCTGGATGCCATCAGCTACTATTTTGTGGCCACAGAATTCCAGGAAGAGGTGGGGGCCATCCTCAGAATGCCCTGGCGTTTCTGGGGACGGATGCGGGGCGCTCCTGCAGGTGACCACCCTGACCTGGCCGTCCGCGGGGGGCGGGGGGCAGCTGAGGAGAGCGATGCAGGAGGGGCCCCACACATGGCCCTGCAGCAGGCAGCTCAGGGCCCCCTGGGTCCCCCACAAGGCAACTCTTTCCCCTCCTCCATGGCATCCACAAGAAGGAGCCTCCCTGCTCACAGTGTGACTTTGGATTTATGAGTCCTGGAGATGGGGCTATTGCTCAGCAAGGAGAATTTAAGCAAGGAATTAAAGGATCACCACCAGATCGCCACCAGATCTTTCTTCTCCCAGCTCTGCTGGCTTAGCCCCTTGGGCTGCTTCCTTCGCAGCGTGCACCCCCTCCCCCAACCCCAGCCCTCAAGCTCCAGGATGCAGGGTGACCCTGACCTACGCCAGGCTGACCTCCAACCTCTATGCTCCACCCCTGCGGGTACTCAGGAAGGGAAGGACCCTCTGAGTACCCAGGTAGCACTCCTTGGCAAGTACTGAGGAGGGTGTTTAAAAAACCACATTTTTCTGTGTCACCTATAGATTATGATTAGACACCAAAATCTATCAAAGTTCCAAGGTCTCTCTTCAGGTCCGTAACCACTGCAGACAGAAACCCCTAGATCCCAGGGCTGAGGGACGCCAGGCTCTAAGTGTAGGGATGTTTACAGAGACACAGCCACTAATTAAGTTCAAAGACATTCCTTTGTAAAAAATGTTCAGTTGTGTTTCTGAAGAGCATCATAGAGGCCCAGTCCTTACTTTTGGGGTGCTTCTCGGGGCCCCTTGTCCCACCACACACTTCACACCTCCCAGCACCACTGGCAGCCCCCATCCTCCCACTCTGGGCCAGGCCCGTGGACACCCGCGGGCTGAGCTGAGGGGCCTGATGGCCGCTCTGTTAGCGGGGGACAGGAGGGGCTCTCCCCACAACACTTGGCCATCAGGATGTGTCCACTGGGCTGGGGCCCGAGGGCATAGCTGGGAATGGAGTTTCAGGATCAGCACAAACACCTCCACTGAGAAGCGGAGGCAGGAGACAGCCCTGAGGGACCCTTGCTGGAGACTGGGGTCCCCAAACTGGGCCCGAGGAAGCAGAAGGAGGTGCTCCCAAGAGCCTCAGGTGACTAGAGGGAGAATGGGAGACCCAGACCCCTGTCCCCTTCCCTCCACCCTGCTCCTCTCCCCTCTCCCTCTCCCACCCACCCCTGCCACCTGCCCCGGCCTCCTCAGAGCTGTCTGCCTGGCAGGGCAGTCTGGGGGCCCTCCTGGGCATGCCCCTGGCCACACAGGCAGAATGAGAGCAGCTGGCCTCCAGGCTGTGCCCCAGCTGGACCTGTTACCTGCAGTGCCACCAGCTTCCAGGTGACGGAGATGCACGTCCTGACTCTGGGACAAAGCAGCAGGGCCCTGTACCTGCACAGTGGTCAGTCCCATTCTGCGAGTGCACCAATGCCCTGGCCTTCTGCTGCCTGCAGACCCGGGCTCACGGGGCCTCCCTGGGCTCCCTGACCTCTGGCAGAGGCTCACCTTCCCCCCACCGGCAACACACCCTTGTTCCGGTCAAGGATGGCCAGTCGGCGGGTGCCAGAGAGGCCGTCTGTGTGGCCGAGGCTGACGGTGGCATCACTGCCCGTGGCCACCGCTCCAGCAGCCATCCTGTCCGGGGCCCACGTGCAGAGCTTCTTGCGGTGACAGGAGGGCAGCCACAGTCACGGCCCCTCTGTCCTCTTGGGGCAGCCAGCTGGCTGACGGGGGGAAGTCAGGCCTGGGCCGCATCTCCCCCTCCCACACAAAGAAATCGTAGGGCATGAAGTCCACCCTACCTGGTCTGACCCTGACCACCAGTGCATGGGGAAGGGGCTCGTGAAAGGGGATCCCACTGCTCTCCTGATGGGCTGGGGGTGCTCCCTCTCTGCAGACTGGCCTGTGGTGCCTTGGAAGAGAACCCTGAGCGGGAGCGACCCATGGAGGCCCGATCCTCCATCTCCACCTGTCCAAGCACCCTCAGGGCAGCGGTGCAGTCTGGCTCAGGGAGGCAGCCACCCCCTCTGAGCCCACTGGTGCAGCCACCCTCCCCGGCCAGTGCTGCCCTTCACCCAGGGAGCCCAAGTCCCACTCTGGGGAGATGCGTGTGGTGGTCCAGAGAGGTAGGGCTCTTGCTCCTTGGGGCTCCAGCTGTTGGCAAACACGTGGGAGGCACATGGGCTCACCCACTTCTCCAGCACCCCGTTAAGGCCCCTTCCCCCCAGGAGCAGCCCCCTGGAGTCTAGCTTGCAGGGCTGATCCCTTTGAGACCCAGGCCCTCCCAGCCTGGGGGTAGTGTTGGGGCACAGCAGGCTGGGGGGCCACCATGGGGAACAGGGAACTTGCCAGAGTCTCCTGAACACTTTGAGCATCGCTTTCCAGCTTGAGGCAGAAGGGGCTCCAGTGCTGACCTATCCACCAACAAGGTATACAGGATCTGCCATGTGGCAGATACTGGTCTAGGCGCCCCGAGCCTCACAGGGTCCCACGGAGGGGCGGGGAGGGGAGAGGCTGGGAAGTGGGCCAGGCTGGATCACAGAGGGCCTTGCAGGGGAAATGCAGGGCTTGGGGGGTGTTCTGAAGGTGGCGGGGGGGCGGGGGGCGCCCAGAGGGGTTTGCATCAGAGGAGTGAGGATTGTGGCCGTGCTGCAGGTGGGGGACTGGATGGCAGGGCCAGAACGTCAATGGGGCACCAGGGTGGCATGGTGGGGGCTGGGACTGTGATGGGTTCCGGGATCAGGATGGAGTGTTCAAGCCATCACGGGAGTGCGGGACCTTGATGACCGCCAGCCATGGGAGGCCTCAGTGCAGTGCTGTACAGTAGCGTGCCTAAGGAGGACGAGCGGGGCTTCCCGGAATTAGGGTGACCCCGTGCAGGCGCGGAGGGGTGTGAGGGCCAGGAGGAAGCAGGGGCAGGCACAGGCTGGGGACCCAGGCAGCGAGGAGGCAGATGGGACCCTCTGCCCTCAGGGAAGCGCTCTCTGGAGAAGGGGGCGGGACTGACCAAGGGGCCTGCTGTGTCCCCTCTGTCTCAGGGACACGCCCCCACCTCCCACCCCCAGGTATCCGCTGTGGCGTCTTTGCGCTTCATTCAGCAGAGCTCTTCCGCACCGCTCCACAAGCCTTCACCCGCTCGCCCGCAGGGGCGGGGCCAAGCAGTCAGGGCCCCGCCCCAGACACGCCCCGCCAGCCCGGGCCACGCCCACTCCCCGCCCCCAGGCCGCGCCACGCCCCTCCGCG